TATTGGGCGAATCTAAGCCCAAATGAGCTTAGTTCTAACTTGTAAGCTCTTATCGGTTCATTAATTGTTTTTCATTTTTTTCTTTTGAAAAATCAAAGTTATTAGGCTCAATTTGAAAAAAAGTAATATAAATACATATAAAATAATATAAAATGCAAGATTTTACACTCTACGTATTTATATTTGTTAGACAGATGGGTGATTTCTGCACCACCGTGCCCAAAATGAGCTTCATCATACCTTACCACATGGGCTTCACCAAACAAAGAAACATTTTGCTGAGCTGCAGTATGGCCCAAATCGTGAAATGGGCTTCATCATACCCCTCTCTCTCTCTCTCTCTCTCAATGGCTAATTAAACTAAAAGTACCCCTCCAACCTCCAACGAAGAAGGGAACTTTAGTGATATCGGTCTTACTCAGGGATGGTTGATATGGAGATACAAAATAAGAATTGTGACAAGGTTCGCTTATGCAGATACATAAAAGAAAATCATTTTCTAATGCGGGTTGTGCCATGTCAATACGGCTTGGCCCAGCACAATCTAATTTATACTTCTACTTGAACCTGTCCAATATTGAGGACGGGCTGTAAAAATTCAAAAATTCCCCATCCTTGATGAAGAGTGGGGTGGCTTGCCCTTGAACTTGCCTGATATTGAGGAGTGGTTGCCTTGCCCTGAACCTACTTGACACTGGGGATGGGATAGAGTGTCTTGACTATGGGGCAAGGATAGGGATGGGGTGCCCCGCCCTGAACCCATCCCATTGTCATTCCTATATAATTGTTAATTGTTAGTGAAATTAATAAAAATGTTAGCTTTTGTAATTATTTTTATTTATTTAAAGTTAATCAAATTTTTATTTAAAAATAATAACAATTATTAAAATTATTAATAAAACTAATTTATTAAAAAATATTTATTCATATTAAATTAACAATAATAATTTTCTTTAAATCAACATTAAATGAAAATACAATTATTAAAATTTTAGATATTAACAATAACTTTAAGTACTTTTAGTTAATTAACAACAAATTTTGATTATTAATTTAATATTAATTAATAAAAATAAAATTGTTAAATCTTTCAAATTTTCCCATGCATCGCATGAGCCCCGCTAGTATATCAATAAAATAAAAAAGAAACCAAAGGCAACCTAACTTTCTTAAACATCAAGACCATAATTTGCAGTATAACAGCCAAAATTCTTTCCCTTTTTTCTACCTCAAACATTAAATAACTTTTCAAATATAATCCTTTCTCTCAATAGCACTACTTCCAAAATTTTCCGTTGTCCCTTATTTTTTTCAATTAATTTGTTATTATGAAGTCGAGAATCTAGGTTCAACTATGATACTGAAAATATTTGTAACCAATCAATCGGTATCATGAAAGTGGTAACCAATCAGGTGGTATTGTCAAATTTCACTTGCGAGGGGGGTCATTGGCAGTCCATGAGATATTCCCGATGGGGAGACGCTCCCAATGTTCAATTGTGGTGTCCTGTGGGAAGGTGTGGGTAAGGTTATTTTGGGTGCGAGATTGGAATGTAATGTGTTCATTGGTCAAAGCCCTTCCCATATCATGTCTTTCTAGCAGGCGGCAGATTGCTAATGAATTCTTAACCCACGTTCTCTCATTTACCAGCAAGTGGGGAGACTGGTCCAATGGGGAAAATTCCACTTTAGTACACTGAACTTTGGGGGTAGTGTTAAGTTAGTATCCGAACTTTCAAACGCGTCACTGTAGTACCTAAGCTTTCAAAAAGTGTCAAGTTGGTCCCTGCCATTAACCGATCGTCAGTTATTTATTGAAAATGTCAAAACTACCCTTCAAAGGAAGACATTGTTCATTATCTTCTACCTTGAGACTGAACTGATTATTTTCAAAGAAAAGAGAGAAAAACATGAAATATGATAGAGGGAAATAATAATTGAAAGCTAAAAAATAACTAGACAAGAATGTGTTTCAGATCTAAATGTAGAAGACAATGACTTCATTAGTCTAGAATCTCAAACACCTCAATCGGTTCAGTCTCAAGGAAGACAATGTCTTCTTTTGAAGGGACCAACTTGACATTTTCAACAAATAACTGACATTTGGCTAAGACAGGGACCAACTTGACACTTTTTGAAAATTTAAGTACTGCACTGATACGTTTACTAAACTAAAATACATATATGAATTACTTAAAATGTACTACTTACAATGTTTGTTTCCCTTTTCATGTGCTGACATCATGATTTCAACCAAGTACACTGAACTTGGTTTTACCTTACTACCTTGTGTGTACTTATGATTTTTTGTCCATACAAGGAATATATCTCATTTTGTTGTCATTTGCAGTTAATTATTTAGCAGTTATTGCCAGGCCTAAGTTAAGATGATAATAATAGCTTCCAGTCCCCAACCATTCAGTTGGAATCTTATTAAATCAAAATAAGATTACAGCTGGGACAGCTTAATTATCTACTAACGTAGTACTGCATTAGGGTACCCTTGTGGAGGAGGGAGGGTAGGGTACCCCTCAAACTTATCACACTAGGGTACACCTTATCACATTTTTTTTCTTGACATTGACATTTTGTTTGTTGAAAAACTTATATAGGAAATGGCATCCCACGATTGAAAAGGAGTTAAAAGGTTGCAATTTGCCTCTATAAAGCAAAGTAGACACCATCAATGTGAGGAAAGAACTCACCAACTCATTGATTCCACCTCAGAGGGACTTCCACTTAACTAGTCAATTTGAATTTTGTCCCAATTCGATGGAAGTGCAGAATTCGTTAAGCACTCTAGAAAATTTGTGCCCCTCGTAGATTTGTGTTTTGTACAAGTTTTGCAGCCTAGAAATGATATTTTAACACCACATCCTAATCCAAAATCCAAATTGTTTGGATCGATGTAAATCATACCGAATACAGAAACAACTCCAACAAAGGTCGTCATTGGTGCAAACGTATTAATATATTTTTCATGATATATAGGGAGCACCTACTTGATTTTTATATGAAAATATTTAATTTCAAATCCTAAACCCCTAAATTTATGAATCCTTAACCTTAAAACCCTAAATTTTAACTAAAAATGCATTTGACACAATTCCTCCTTCTACTTGGTAGCTAGGAGTATAATTTCTCCATTACTATCCATTTTGTAAACTACTGTTTACCTACTAATAAAAGGGGTAATTGTTTGGTATAATGGTAAAACCTTGGGTTATCAGACATGAAAATGTAGGTTTAAGTCTAAAAGCAGCCACTTAAAAAAAGTGTCAAAGGTTAGGACTTTATCCAATCTATCCTTCACACAACTTTTAAAGTCATGCATTGGGAATATCTCCATACTTGTATACTTGTATGTTTTTTCTTCATGGGGAGATATTCCCCATACAAGGTTGCAAGAGACTGTGCAACACGGTCTTATGAGCACCGGAGCCGATTTTTGTATACATACTACTTACAATTTGGGGTGCAAGTTGGATAAGCAATTTAAAGAATTTACACTATATCGGACCTGGGTCCATAACAAATGCTCAACCCTAGCCGCCCAAGTTGCACCATGTATCCAGACTCCTGGTGAAGAAAAATGTATCAGACTTCTACTTAGGTGACACTGACACTACAGGATAAACAACCGTCCAAACCCCTAAATTAATGGTATCCATGTCATGGCTGATGCCTGATGGTAATGTCATGGAATATGAGGCCAGCCCATCGACCACTTGGTCATTTGTTCGAATCTTCCCAGCCCAGGCCCAACACTTTATACTCCAGTCCGCCTACCAAAAATTCATAAAACAAACCATATTGGTGATTCAAGATTAACCGCTTCTTAAGTAATAAACAAAGGCTAGCCAAAATTGAAATAAAATTTAGTCCATAATATAATGGTTTGGTAATATTCCTTCCCCAAATGTAGGGATGGAAATTTCCCTGCATATCTGGCTTTTCCTATCCGATGGGGTTGGGGATGGAGATAGCCTTAATGGGAAAAGGAGTGGGTGTGGGGATTGATAGTGATACTTGATTGAGGATGGGGAGTGAATTTCCCGCCCCACCTTAACCCCGATTATATATATAGGCATAATATTGTTGATATTATTTATATTAAAATATATTTAAAAATTTCTTTATTTTAAATAAATATATTTTTAAAAATAATTTTAATTTAAAAATTTTAAGGATTTGGGTCCCTGATGAAAAACCCATCTCCATCAGGGATTGGGGATGAAAAATCATTTTTATCTCCTAAGATATCGAGATCAAGGACGGAGAATATGATCTCCACCCTTAACGTGACCCGCTGCCATTCCTACCCAAATGGGTTGCAAAAATCGTTTAATCCCGCTTTCCATGCTTAAGATTTCAAATCTTATGTGATTAATATCATCACAAATGGAAATTCCTACAGATGCCATATATAGTGACATGAATTCTCTGGTGCACAACCACCAAACTTTCATCTCAAGCAAAACCATTGGGTGAGATGGGTCAAAAACGCAATGTCGACGTCACGATGGTCCAGACGACTGAAGGGAGTTCAGATGAGCAAATTTCACCTCTGCCCAGTAATTTTGTTCATATAATTAAATTACTGCAAAAGCTGATCCATGTTAGAATTAACTTCAAAAGATAATCTCATTTTTGTTCTTTCTTGATACAAGGCTTGGCTGTGAGAGCTGCCATTTTGTATCTCTGCACTTAGAGCCTGGTCTGTAAATGTAAATGATTCTTCAAGTTTAATTGTCCATGTATTCAACATAGGAAGAAAAGATACAATAGAATATGCAACTTAATAAGGTAAGAAAGCAAAAAAGCAAAAAGTCCACACACTACCTAAAATCCAAGTCTAATATGGATGCTGAGGAGACTTTCTTTGAAGGACGACATATAACATTCCTTTTGTCAATGAAAAGTAATGTCTGCTCTTGAACTCACTATAAATACTTCTAGGTTCTAGCTAGCCTTGCATTTCTCATCAACGTTACCACCTTTTCCTCTTTGCTTGGTTGCCACCTTTGTATCCTTAGATTCAGTTTGATCTGCAGCTACTTAACCCTACATTAATGGCTGTCTGCTGTTTTCATTCTCTTCTTTTTCTCCTTGTCTCTTTCCTTCTCAGCCAAACCACGGCAGATGCTGCAACATGTAGCGACTGCTTCACTCAATCACGAGCAGCTTATTACCCAAACTCTCATGAAAAGGGAACAGAAGGTGAAACAAAGTTTGAACAAAAAGTATAGCACAAAATTAAATACGTACGTAAAATTTCCATATATCTAACTTGTTTAAGCTGCAGATGGGGCATGTGGGTTTGGTTCATTCGGAGCAACAATCAATGGTGGTGATGTATCAGCTGCATCTGACCTATACAGGGATGGTGTGGGGTGTGGTGCCTGCTACCAGGTAATAATTGTTCTTATATATATATATATATATATAAATAAATTTTTTTTGACAACCCGTTTCATGAATCCGAATTAATTTGAGAAAACCTGAAGGTAAATTTTCATAGTGGTTTGTGGTGGAATCATAGGGCTTGGACTACTAGACCCAATCCATATTCATCTTATAGGTTATGCAAAGAGTTACATATTTTTGGGGGTTTTCTTTCTTGCATGCAGAGTCTTAGTCTTGTGAAAGACAAGTGGTCCAATTTAGGTGCCATTCGAATCTGTTTTCTTGGGTTTTTCCGCAATAGAATCCATTATTAGACATGGAAACTGATGACCTTATTTTGCTTCATCATCAGGTGAGATGCACCAACAGTCAGTATTGCTCAGAAAATGGAGTGACTGTAGTCATCACAGACCATGGCTCAAGTGATCGAACTGACTTCATACTGAGCAAGCGTGCCTTCAGCAAGATGGCTCAGACTACAGATGCAGCTGCATCTCTATTAGCCCTTGGTGTGGTTGACATCGAATACCGACGGTACAGAATATATCTACAGACCTGCAGTCTCACCATTCCATATTAATTCTTAACTAATTAATTATGAGCAACAAAAGCTAGAGCTATAGTAGCTAGAGAAGAAATCGATATTCACTGAGATGTGGAGGTTCTCCTTTGCAGTGTTTCATGCAGTTATCCAAGCAAAAACATCCAATTCAAGATTGACGAGAGCAGCAACTACCCCAACTATTTGGCCTTCGTTTTATGGTATCAACAAGGCAAGAAAGATGTCACTGCTGTGCAGCTATGTGAGGTATTTCCCATTAGTTTAAAGCCGAGTTGACTCAGTAACTTGTATGCTTATACAGTATAATGAGATGGGTTCTTCTCAGGCTCAGCCATCTTCATTCATTGTGCTCTGATCTATTTTGAAGGGAATCCACCCAAGAATGGAACCACCATAGTTAATTAGTCCAAACAATATTTGAATGTGTGGATCGAGATTTCTAACGGAGGGACGACTGATCCTGGATTTCTTTTTTTGTTTTTCGGCATTCAATATATGCAGACTAAAAATTTTGTATGCAAGCTTCTGGACCGGAGCCATGGAGCAGTCTGGGGCAGTGTCATGCCGCCGAGCGGACCCTTGTCGATAAGGATGTTATTAACAGACAGTGACACCGGAGATGAGACATGGTTGGTGCCTACTAATAACATTCCCCAGGACTGGAAGGCCGGAGAAGTATACGACTCTGGAGTACAAGTAGACTGATCATATATCATGGCCAACTACATTCATACCAGTCAATTAATAAGCTTAATTATATATAGGTATATAGGTCCATTAATTTGTTGTTATGTGCTGACCAGAACAAAGAGAAGTGATAATGATATGCTCTGTATTAATTCTTTTTGCTTTCTTTTGATGCGGTTGGAAGGGAGATTATGAAGTCTTGATTAATGTGTGGAAACCATAGCTAATCAATATAATTTCTTAATAAAAACATGGTTTGATATTAGAAAATTATCCAGGCAGCTGGCTGATCGACCTTGGTATATATGAACTTTCTATTTTCAAATTAAATGGTTCTCATTCATGAGGGTTGGGGCTTTCACATGAAACCTTGATTTCTACTGGAATTRATATTGACATGTTCACTCTTATGACCTCATACCGCACAAGCGGCGGTCCATCACCTTTTTGCCCATCAAATCAAATGCAGAATCTGTTATTTTCAGTCATCGTCGCTTCTGGCTCTCTCTCTCTCTCTGGGCCACCTCAAATTTTATTAACCATTATCCAATAGAAAATAAGAATATCCAGGGGAGGACATAGCCCGCCTTGCCCCATGCCCAATACAAAAAGCACTTATTATCACCCTTCCAAAACCCACCCCAACAAAGAAAATTAAAAAAAAAAAAATACAATCGAATTTATCCAATTCTCAGAATAGGAAGATTAACACTATCCTCATGCAAAAACCTTCTAAGCTTTGTCGGGGTATGAAGAACGGAATTAAGGCCCTGTTCGTGTTTTGGTAAGTTACTTATCTGGATAAATGCACTTAGCCAGGTAATTATTTTCCATGACAGATTTACCCGGGTAAGTGCATTTACCCATGTTCTTTTTATTTCCCATATAAATAAGGCAATGACCATTTTATCCATAAAAACCCATTATTATAAGAGGCATTTTTGTCCCTTTCAAATGTTGACAACTTTCCCCCATTTAAGGTGGGAAATTTATTTACCCACCTAGGAGATTGCTATCACTTACCTAGAAAATAAACTTTTCCTAGGTAAGTGATACCCAGGAAAATAAACTTTCCTTGATCCCCACATAAATCTGAAAAAAGACCATGGGACTTTTGGTCAATGGGAATCAAAATCCCATTGACCAACTTTCCCCCTCTCAAAATCCAAAAAAAGAACGCCCCCTAAAAGTTGCATTGCTCTTCAAATTCACACCTACATTTGCAAGTTAATCTATACACCTATTTCCTTCTCTCAATGAGTGACCAATGGAATACCACATATTACTAAGAGTTCGTTTGATCTTTATATAAGTGTAGGCGATTGACTATGGGTGAGATGTTGTCCCGTTAATGATGCCAACTAACACTTCATTGTCACTCTCAATTTCTAATTCAGTGATTCCAAGTTGGAGACAAAAGTCTAACCCATCGAGAAGAGCCAAGAACTCAGCTTGAATGGAGGAAGCATAGCCATAGAAATTGTAGAAAGCAAAGCAAAAACCTCCCAAGGCATCCCTAACAATTCCACCCCCACCACCCCCGACTAGCACCATCTACATTTAATTTATACCAATAATAGATTGGAAATTTCTATGCTACCCATCTAATTTTCCTTCGCCTAACATCCTTGGTTGTAATATTAAGAGTTTGGAGCACAAGGTTATTATAGCAAGCATTGAGAGGGGGTTTTTGGATGGCATTAATATCAATCAACCACTTCTTCACTCTTGAAATCAGCTCATTAGATTTTGAAGTTTATCCTTCAGAAACTCTCTCCTTCCAAATAATCCAAAGAATGAGACATGGGGTGATAGCTATTAAATTGTCAATTTGAGAGTCAGATTTGCACTGATGCCACCATGCTCTCACCCGATCACCAATATGTTGTGAGGGATTAATGTGTATATCAAATAAACAAGAAAAGAAATTCCAAACTTTTTGAGCAATAACCCTGCCTGCAAACAAGTGATGAAAGGGTTCAGATCTATGGCTACCACAACAACATTTTGAAACCAAATGTCCCCCACGCTTCATGACTAAGTCATCAGTTGGAAGAGCACTATGCATAAAACTCCACATAAACATAGAGTTCTAGTAGGCATGCCTTTTTTCCAAACAAAACTTTCCCAATCAATTATAGGATAACGACTTCTAACTAGCTCCCATGCTGAATTAAGAAAGAAGTGACCATTCAAGTTATAGTTCCAAATTAGCCGATTATCCTCATCTTCAATGAATCATTTAGATTCCTTAATTTGATTCATGATACAAGGAGGGATATTCTGATTTGTATTAAAGCTCCATGACCCATCACAATTAAGAACTTGTTTGGGAGTAAATAAAATCTTCAATCTCCACCACCTCCATATTATTTATTAAGGGGTCTGGACCCAACCAATTATCATGCCAAAATGATATTTCTCCTCTTCCCACAATCCATTGGCTGTGAGATAATGCAATTTGCTTCAAGCTTATCATCTCTTTCTATACTCTAGTACAAGTTCTTGGCAAAGAAAGTAGTGGGAGATGAATGTTTTTATGTACTTTATTGAATGGAGTGGGACCAAATATTGTCATTTGGTATTAATCTATACCAAACTTTAATTCGAAAGGCCTTTATTATGTCAGAAATTTCTCTTAACCCAAGGCCACATTCATTTTGTAGGCTTGCACACCTTACTCCAATTTATCCACTACACCCTAGAGCCAAAATCTGAAGCACCCCAAAGAAAACTAGCAAACAACTAATTTATCCATTTAATGACATCTTTAGTGGGCGAGCAAGCACTAAGAATGTGCATGGGTAAACTTTACAAAACATGGTGGACTAAGATTAACTTTCCACCAGCTGAAAGAGATTTGGCTTTTCATCATTCTGTTAGATAGTGTATGCCCTTAGCTCCAATCAAATTGATGTACTTATTGTCATTTATTGTAAATGAATAAAGTGCATAACTGATTCGTGTTAGTATGGTGTGTTTCTGTATAATACCCTTAAATTGGACACTTATGAGACTCTCTTGTTAGTTTAGAATTTTCACAATCGTTGGATAGATCTGGGGAGATTTATCCTGCCAAGGCTGACACTGATGTGCCGCCAAGTTGGTTGGGGTGGCTTGTCTCAGCTGCTAGGGTGAGACCTGAGGTATATGCAGTGTGGGTTTTCTTGAAACCCTAAACCAGACCTAATTCCAGTATTGCCCTAGATCTTGGAGATAGATGGGAAAAACTGGAATGTTACACCTAACCCCTAGACTCGATTATGGTACTGCACTATGTATCGAATTGGGATGTCTTTGATATGCCAATCAGTGAGATCCTTAGAGGGGGTCAAAACCTAGATATGTTGGGATAGTTTGAGAATTCACCTAAGTGGGTGATCATAGTGATAAGATCAGCCCATTTCTCGGACAAAGTGAATAATCGGAGAATGCACTCTCTCTGATGGAAACATAAACTACTAGTAGTGGATTTTAAATGTGTTTGAAATTTGTTTGCAATATATATATATTATGGTTTCAAATTGTTTGCAAAATGTTTTAATTCTCGGGATCTATGTGAGTAGAGAGTGCAACACTGTACCTTGCAGCCGAGGGAGAGGTCTTCTCTTGTCGGGCAGTGTTTTCTCATTAAGGGCTGAGAGGTTAAGTGTAAGACCATTTAGGGATAATAAACCTGATGGGCTAATCTCACATAAGTTCATAGTCCTTGAGCCTTCATAAGGTGGATGGACTCAGGGACCATCTAGTGTAGATATTGGGCCCACTAAGAGCCCATATTGATGGGTTCAGGGGTTTATTCGGCCAGGCCTTGTAGTAGAGGTTGGGCTGAACCCATATGGCTTTTGTGGAGATCAATGCTAGAGTCCCACACCATACAAAGAGAACCAAGTTAGCCAACAATTAAAGGAAGTGAGCATGAAAGCTTAATGGGCCTTAAAAACCCACATTGAATTGGGTATTTAATTAGATTAAATAAGAAGGTGACGAATTGGGTTTATAATCAGAATAAGATTAGCTAATGGATAAGATAAGTCTTATCCATTTAAGAGTCCATATTCAAATACAGAGTTGAATCAAAGGAATTCTTTCCTAATTAGATTAGGAAGTTGATCCGAAAGAAGATTATAAATAGGAGGGCGAATTCTCTTCAGTCATATCAGAGCATTCTCTTTCTGTTTTTTCTCCCTCTGTTCTTGCCGCCACCTACCCTATTCGATCTCCATCTTGGACTGATCAAGATTTGATCTTGGTATTATTTCTTGCTAGAAGAAATTATCTTGAAGCTGTGCTCACATCCTTGGCATGATTCTTGGTGAAGAATTGGGGTTCTTACTGAAGAACCTCCCTGTTGATCCTGCCTCATCCTAAACTGTGCCACCTTCAGTGGAGGACGGATTTGGCACTCTCTTTGGGCGTGAACACTTACATTCGGAGGAGCATTTGCGTGGATTCTGTATCAGGTACCTCTCTCCCTAATCTTTGGTTCAAATCTGGTCCAGTTTGTTTCAAGAACGATCTTTGAAAAATGCAGTTTTTCTAAAACTATGAATAGAATTCCCAGAAAGGAGAAATAAATTTTTGAAATTTCGCCCAACCTTCCTGCATGGTTCGTCCATCCATATGATGGATCTCCCTTCCCTTCACCTTCAATTTTTCTTTTGATTTTTCCCACAAGCTCATCAAAGTCTCTAGATCTTGGGTTCCTTTTACCAATTGGAGCTCCCAAGTAGATTAAAGGGAAATGTTTTAGAGTATAACCCGTGACTTGTTTAATTATACTAACAGAAGCAGCTCTTATCCTAGGGTTCACAATAAAAGGAAAGCCTAAAAGGTTCACAAGCCTTCCCAATTTCATCGTTAGAGAAAAAAATTGCAGGTTCACCATACTGGGTGAAAGAGGGAGGTTTAACTCCAATGTGGATCTGTTCAAGAGTACAAGTCTCTACAACCACGAAATCATAAGATCTTGGTTTCATGGCAGATGAAGAGGGGCCCCACCGCAGCAGCCATGAAGGATTCACCCCCTCTTAATCCCACTTCTGGCTTTCTCTTATCACTGAGAATAAGGGGTTAAGGTGATTTAATTTGGCAACGTCCCAACCAGTAAAGCAGGGATTATTGTGACCAAGGGGTTGAGTATTCTAGTAGTAATTTGCAGTTCTGCACAAAGGCAAGGCAAGCATATGTCTTTTAAGTTTTAACTGTTAAAGCAC